TCAGTCCTGTACGTCCATTTCCCTCGTCGCCCTCCTCGCCCTCCTCGAGCACGCCGCGGCCGCTCTGGCGCCGACTCGGCGGCGGCGGACGGTGCCGAGGGGCAGGCACGGGGCGGGCGCGGGGTCGCGGGCAGGGGGGGGAGGCGGCGCTGCGTCGTCGGGGGCGGCGGCGGAGATGAAGAGACATTTAGGCCGTGTTTCTTTTTAGTTCAAGCGCGTTCACAGTGTCGCTGTGCTGAGCCGCTTGTGCACCCTTTGTCCTTTTTTTTTGTGTGTGTGTCCCTTTTTCCTCGACAAAAATTCCGTTGCGTCGATCGGCCGGAGCGCGGACCGCGTCGCACACACAGCCTGGTTGTTGGCTCTAGTCGTGATGTCGCCCTCTCCTGCTTCCCGCCTCGTGCTCGCGATTCTCTTCCTTTCGGCCATCGTCGCTCCATCCGCGGCCTTCAACACCAAGTCCATCTTTGGAATTGACCTGAGGCCCGACGCCGACTTCACGACTTCCAGCCTCCAGACGGGCACTGTCAGCTGCACGCCTGTGCCTTGCCCCGCGGCACCCAAGGGGGGCGCCACCAGCCTTGTTGAAGTTTGCGTCGCCAACAGCAAAGTCGACGGCTACAGCGCCGAGATGTGCGATCCCAAAGGTGCTGCGATGACTGTGCAGGCACCTCCGCTGACAAACGTGACGATTCACACCACAAACGGGAAGATAGTCGTCGAAGTTGTGCGCGACTGGTCACCCTCACAGGCGGATAGGTTCTACAATCTTGCACGGCTTGGCTTCTGGCAAGATGCTCCATTCTCGCGCGTTGTGCACGACTGGGTGGCCCAGTTCACCGCGTCAAAGTCCCCCAGACTGTCTGGGATATACAACGGCAACGATTGCACCGATTCGCCGCAGCCGCCCTGCCTGGTGCCGGGCTCGTGCGTTGTTGCCGGCACGGTCAAAGCGCCTAACAAACGCGGCACCGTCTCCTTTGCGGGCGGTGCTCTCAGCTCGCTCTGCAGTGGCGAGTCTTGCTCGTGCCAAAGCGAGTTGCCCCCGCTCTGTAGCGAGGCGGGGGAGGAAGACGACGGGGCGCTGGTGATATCGAACGAGGTCTTTATCAACAAGGTGGACAACTCCGACGCCCTGGACGCTTACGGCTTCGCTCCATTCGGGCGCGTCGTGTCTGGGATGGATGTGGTGGACGGCCTCTTCAGTGGATATGGCGAGTTCTCGTGCACCTCGGGCCAGTGCTTTGCAGGCGGCGACCCCGAGGGGAGCGGCTGCCTCGAGGGCCGCCCGCCCGAGTGCGCATCGAAGCACAACGCGTCCGTGCCGTGCTTGGCGCCGCGATGCTTCGAGATGTACGCGATTGGTGCCGATTACTACAAGAGCAAGTTTCCACGGATGACACTGATCGAGGAGATGGTTGTGTAAGCAGAGCAGCGTTGCGCCGGGTACTACTCGTAGGGGGCATCCTCGATTCGTTTGATTGGCGAGGGTCTTACGAACATACCCGAAGTGGACTAGACAGAGATGCCCTTACTT